TTTGTCATTCCGTTTGTAACATCCTTAAATATTCGTCGTAGACCCCATAAAGTATATATATTCATAATCAGCATAAAATTCTAAGTCGATTTAACGATGTCCGTCTGTCTGTCTGTCTGTCTGTCCGTCTGTCTGTTGAAATCACGATACAGCCCACAGTATTTGACGTAGAGCGCCAAATTCGCATTGTGTCTAGGATGGTTGGTATTGAAAATGAGATATATCGGTCCACGTTCTGGTATAGTCCCCATATAACGGTACCTCCCGATATTCGGTATTTTGATGATTTATGCCACATTTTTTCACGGATTTGTTTGAAAATTGGTATTTGTAGGTCATAACGGGTCCCTGTGCGTGTGGCAAAACACTGCATGTATAGGTCCACGTTTTGGTATAGCCCCCATATAAAGGTACCTCCCGATTTTCGGTAATTTGATGATTATTGCTACATTTTTTCACGGATTTGTCTAAAAAATGGTATTTGTAGGTCATAATGGTTTCCACCTCCGGTGGCGAAACATTGCATGTATGGGTCCACGTTTTGGCATAGCCCCCATATAACGGTACCTCCCGATATTCGGTAATTTGATGATTTTTGCCACACTCTTTCATGGATTTGTCTAAAAATTGGTATTTGTTGGTCATAATGGGTTCCAGCTCCGGTGGCGAAACATTGCATGAAAGGGTCCATGATTTGATATAGCCCCCATATAACGGTACCTCCCGATATTCGGTATTTTGATGGTTTTTGCCACATTTTTCCACTGATTTGTCTAAAAATTTGTATTTGTGGATTATAATGGGTCCTAGTTCGTGTGGCGAAACATTGTAATTATAGGTCCACGTTTTGGTGTAGCCCCCATATAACGATACCTCCCGATATTCGGAATTTTAATGGTTTTTGCCACATTTCTTCCAATGTTTCTTTTACCCTAAGGTGGAGGGTATTAAAAGTTTGGCCCGGCCGAACTTAAAGTTTTTTTTACTTGTTTATTATTATTTGTTAATACTAATATTGCATTTCACTTTCAACCAAAAGAAGAAAGCGACAAGAAAACAATGTGAAGCCCCAAAAAAAAAAAAAAAAAAAAAAATTGGCAACAAACAATAGCAGTTCGGTGCTGTGGTAAATGTAATTCATGGTTTTGAGGTTCGTCATTATTCACTCAGCCATTCAGCGCAACAACCAACCAACCATCTATCCATCCATCTACCAAACCATTCATTCAACCACGCGCATCCATGAAACTTTTCGAGGGGCATTTGCGGCATTAGTCTTGGCATCTGGAGAAGATGAAAATGAAAATTTATGTAGGAAATATTAGCTACGTCTTGCCAATGACTTTGGTTTATTTTCTTGGCTCTTTTGCATGATTTCCCTTTAAATATTTCAATATTTGTTTTGTTTTTCCGTCATTGCAAAACATTGTTGTTTTTGGTGTTGTGTTTTCACTTAACATTTGTTTATTTGTTTTGCAATACCGCCGATTGCACAATGGGTTGCAATAAAGTGGTGGTAAAGTTCGGTGTAGCGTTTTCCAACCATGGTGCGGTGTGTTATGCTGATGGTATTCCGGAAATTATTTCACGCAAACATATAATCAAAGAAAATTAGTGTGGGGCTTAATGAAAGAAAATGAAGTGAACAACAAATGGAAATTGTTTTCTCAAAAATGTAAATTAACATATATACGAGGGAGGGTTGAAAAGTTGGGAAGATAGATAAGGGGGAGAGATTAATACAGGAGTTTCGGGGGCGTCGTCGAAGTAGGCAACTCCGCCGCTGTCTCCCTAATAGCAACCACAGCCTCAGCATCTCTCTGCACATATTTTTGTTCCGACCGCTAATTCTGCATCATTTTTGAAATTTAATTGCAACAAACTTTGAGGTTAGACATATGATATAGTGAATTCTATGAATCGGTGATTTGGGTGGCAGCGGTGCAAGAAAACAAGCTCAATGAAAATTGTTCCTCACAATGTTGTGTTTTTTACACATTGCTACGTAATTAGGTTTTAAATGAACCTGGGAAGACACTATTTTATTATATCAAATAAAACGAGGGTTCCTTCAGATTACGGGTCTTGTATTGCTCTATTCACAAATTCGCACATTTCTCTTTACTTTACACAGTTCACATTCCTCATAGTTCACAGCTTTGCTAGACCTCCTTACAAGTCGTGATATATTAATGGACAGACTCACTGTTCTCCCACTCACTCGTATTTATAGCTCATGATCTATACATGATATTTTCGACATTAAAAAACAAGGATATTCTAAAATATTCAAACGGAATGTCCGTTCATTCGTCAAAGCTGACTCACACATAAACAAACGACCAATCTAAACAGCAAAGAGAAGTATATTCATAAATACGAGTGAGTGAGAACGATTAATGTCAAGAAAGAATTCTTATTCTCCAACGGAATGACCGTACTTTGGCGAATCACACTCACACATAAACAAATAACCAATTTAAATAGCAAAGGGAACAATATTCATAAATACGAGTGAGTGAGAACGATAAATGTCAAAAAATAATAAGAACTGCAAAACCGATTGTTTACTCCATGTTTTGCAGAGTTTATAAGGATATCATTACCCGAGATCTACTTTAATCACCTCTTGTTCGGGTAATAGTATCCTTTTAAATTCTGCAAAACATGGAGCAAACAATCGGTTTTGTCAGTTTTTATTCTTTTGTTTTTGACATTTATCGTTCTCACTCACTCGTATTTATGAATATTGTTTCCTTTGCTATTTAAATTGGTCATTTGTTTATGTGTGAGTGTGATTCGCCAAAGTACGGTCATTCCGTTGGAATATTTTAGAATAACTTTGTTTTTTTATTACCGAAAATATCATGTATGGATCATGAGCTATAAATACGAGTGAGTTGCATTATAATCATATCAAATTATAATCATATCAGCAGTTCTAATAAATGACGTTATTTGAAATCCTGTCTTTGTCATTATTTATCTTGGATCAGATAATCCTCCTGTAATCCTCTTCATAAACAAATCGCTAAATTTCATGACTTCTAAACACCACATTTCCCCCAACCACGGAAAAGCTCTTTGGACTAAGAGTTTACCAACTTCTCTGGGGAGAAAGGATGTTCAAATAACCTAAACAAGACCACATTTCCCAGCATAGGTAACGGCACTAGTGAACGAAACCTATTTATCCTAAAGTCAGGGAACGAACATTCAAAATCAACAGGTTGTCAGAGTAGCAGAATGACTAGATGATATGAAGTGTTGCAGTATTGGACCCGATGTGAGTAAATTGTGCTCCAAGTTAAGTCGCTCTTGAATCTACCATCTTTATAACAGATGCACAAAGTCTGAATGGAATCGGATGTAAATTTTGCGTTTTATGGGCTTCATGGATATTCAAAATTTTGACCATTTGTGGGGGAGGTACCAGAAGGAGTGGACCGATATATACCATCTTCAGAGCAGATCTTGTGTTAGTAAAAATAATGGGATGTGTGAAATATGAAGATGCTTATTTCGGATTTTATGACCCTTTTGGTAATTCATAACCTTTGTGGGTGAGGTACCAGAAGGAATGGTCCGATCTCTACCATTTGTATAACAGATCATGTGTTGATGGATATATTGAGATATACCAAATCTAAATGGAATCAGATGTTGATTTCTCGTTTAATTAGCTTTATGGATATTGAAAATATGAACTCTTTTGTGGAGAAGGTACCACAAGGAGTGGACCGATATTTTGCATCTTCATACCAGACCTTGGGGTAATAAAAGTATTGTGTTGTGTGTAATTTGAAGACAATCAGACTCTTACATAACATTTTAGAAGAGGAGGTACTTGCTGGAGTGGGCCGATTTTGTTAATTTTCACACCTGACCCGCCACTGATGTGATTTGCAAAGTATGTTTGATAATAATGTTACGATGTACCTAGTTTGAACCAAATCGGATACTTCCTTCGAGAGTTATCGTGCGCGCCAGCCAGACGGACAAACATTGCTAGACCTACTCAAAATGTCCTGAAACGGATTTGGTCGCAAAGCGACCTTGGGTCTAGAACCATTATTTCGATATGGCACGTTTTGGTCGTATCAAATGATATATACCCTCTCTAGCCATATGGCTGAGTGTATAATGAGACGCAATTTGAACGTACTCAGTGAACGCATTCACCCGTCTTCAACTTTATTTGCCCATGCAAGAGCTCTGAAACACTCTCTCGAATACGAGTGATGAATAAAACTCGCTCGAATTCCAGCGAGTAGAAAAAAAATCGAGTACTTAAATTTTTTATACCACTCGAAAAAAATTCTCTTGAAATCGAGTACTTTTAGTTTTTGTCATATCGTGGTGTTAGTTGCAAGAATGTAAAATAATATTTTTCCACTCGATTTCACCCAAAGAGTTAACTCTAACTCAATTTCAAACATTTTGACTCCCACTTCAAGCAGTAGCACTCGCGGGCGCTCTCACTTCAAACAGAAGAGTGAAGAGTACACTACTTGAAAAACTCATATTCATCGAGCACTCCCGTTTTCGAGCGCTCGTTCATGAGTAAAATTGAGTAAATCTGAGCTCTACTACCTACTGTTAAGGAAGTTAGCCTGGGTGCATGTCATATTTGAGACATCTTGACATGTATGTGATCTCTGCATAATATTTATGCCAGATAGGTTTCATATAGATGTATGATTCGTCATTCTTCCTATACACTTAGGGTTAAGTAAGGTTTGGTCATATTATAATAAGAGTCCATAAGGACAACTTTTACAAACTAAAGAGAGTAACTTAACATTTGCTGAACTAAGAATCACGCGTTGCGTAACCTCATTTCAAAAAATAATATCCAACTTTGCATTTTCTGTAATTTACCTTGCAAATTTTAACTTCCTCTGTGTTTTAGTCCACTTCGCCTTGTTAATTTTACCATGGATCCACGTTTACAGCATATATTGAAATAAAGTAAAAATTCTCTTTTCCAATCCACTTACCTTGCATTTTACTTATTAGCCGTGTGACACGATTCAGTTGACTCAAATCGCTATCTTCGAAATATTTCTTATTTGCTGCATTGATCAATTTTTCCAGATCACGTTCATAGTCACCAACAGCTACTTCCAATACTATAAGGGAATAAGAGAAATAGAAAAAAATAACAAATGGAAAACAAATAAATTACAATTTTTATCAGTTTTGGAGTGGTAATGGAAACTTACAAAAATCGGCAGGATTGTGATAACTTGGACACATGAGATTTTGATCAGCCAAAAAGGGTATTAACTCCTTGACGGGACCCTGATACATGCAATGGCCCTCGACCACGGTATACAATTTATCGAACATCTCGAAAATCAAGGCCGAAGGTTGATGTATGGTACAGACAATGGTATGACCTAGGGCGGCCAATTTCTTGAGCAAGCTAATGCATTGACTGCATGATGAACTGTCCAGGCCACTGTAAGGCAGAGAAAAAAGGAAAAAAAAATTAGAAGATTTAAAAAAAAATAATTGAAATGCAGTGCTAAGAGTAATTCCTTTGAATTCCTGATTCATTGATTTCTTATTTTTCTACAAAAATAAAAATTCTATTGAAATCTTAAAAATATCGAATGCAGCCGTTATATTAGGGTCTATACGAAGACGTGGACCTGCATTGGCAAATTTTGTCATTAATATTCAAATGCGAAACTTGAAAAAAATCATCAAATACCGAATATAGGGAGGTACCATTATATGGGGGCTATACCAAAACCTGGACATATACAATTTTCTGTTATAGGCTGTAGTACCTATTACGAACTTCAAATACCAAATTTGAAACAATTCCGGCGGACAATGACGCTAAAATCATCAAAATACTGAATATCGGGAGGTGCCGTTATATGGGGCTATATGAAGATGTGGACCTGCACAGACAATTTTCTGTCTTAGGCTGTAGTATCCATTACGAACTTCAAGTACCAAATTTGAAACATTTCCGGCTAAAATCATCAAAATACCGAATATAATTTTGGGTGAGGATCACTCTTGATCCGAAAGGGTCAGATAAGGCTGAGTTTTTGGGAATTCGTATTGGAATGGGAATCAAGGTTGAAGAGTAGAGTCAATGTAAGGAGGCAGTTTTAGGAAGTGGGTAAACGGTACTAAATATAGTACAATTTGAATTTCGAGGAACATAATCCAGAAATACAGGCGGAGTATAGCATTGGAATATGGAGAAAGTTTTCGAATTTTCGAAAATGTCCACGAAAAGCACTAAATGGTACAAACTTTGGTACAATTTCGAATTGGTTAGACCGATAGATGTAGAATTTTGAAATTTAGAAATAAGATCACCACTGTATTCTAGGGCTGAGAAATGTAGGTAGTTTTGGAAATTCGCACTTATGTGTACTAAATGGTACTAAATTTGCTAGAATTTAAATTTTTTGGAGAACCAGTAGAGTTGTGATCCGGAAAATTGAAAATAAGATTTCTATTGAACTGTATTTTGTAGGTAGTTATGAAAATTATTAAGCGTACTAATGGTAGTTTGGGAAGTTTGTACTCATGTATATGAAAAGTACTAAACGGTACTAAATTTAGTACAACTTGAATTTCGAGGAACATATAAAGCAGGAATCCAGAAATTTGAAATTAGCATTGGAATATGGAGAAAGTTTTCGAATTTAAGAAAATGTCCACGAAAAGTACTAAAAGGTACTAATTTTGGTACAATTTCGATTTGGGTAAACCGATAGAGCTGGAATTTTGATATTTAGAAATATGATCACTATTGCACTCTGGGACTGAGAAATGTGGGTAGTTTTGGAAATTCGCACTTATGTGTACAAAAAGTGTGGTACTAAATTTGGTACAATTTAAATTTTTGGGAGAACCAGTAGAGTTGGAATCCGGAAATTTGGAAATAAGACTACTATTGCATTCTAGGACTGAGAACTTTAGGTAGTTTTGGAAATTTGTACTTATGTGTACTAAATGGTACTAAATCTGGTACAATTTGGATTTGGGTGAACCAATCGAGTTGGTATCCTGAAAATTGGAAATATTACTACTGTCGGAGTTTAGGTTTGGGATATTTAGGTAGTTTTAGATATGTACTAAAATGTACTAAATCAGGTACAATTTGGTCGTAGGTAAACGAATAGAGCTGGTATCCTGCAAATTGGAAATAAGATCACTGTCAGAGTGTGGGATTGGGTTATGTAGGAAATTTTGGAAATTCGTACTCATCTGTATTATATGGTACTAAATTTGGTACAATTCGTAATTAGGAGAACTGATAAAGATGGAATGCTGAACTTAGAAATTGGAATTGCTGTGAAAGTGTAGGATTGGGTTATGTAGGAAGCTGCGAAAATTCGTACTTATCTGTACTATATGGTACTAAATTTGGTACAATTTGAATTTGGGTAAACCGATAGAAATTTGGAATTGGGATTACTGTGTGAGTGTAGTATTGAGGTATGTAAGAAGCTCTGGAAATTCGTACTTATGTGCTTATGGAAATGGTACTTAATTTGGTACAATTTCGATTTGGGTATAACGATAGGGCTGGAATCCCGAAATTGGGAAATAAGATTTATATTGGATTGTGTAATGCAGGTTGTTTTGTGTTTATGTGTACTAAACAGTACCAAATTGGAATTGTGCTAAATCGATAGAACTGGAATTCTGAAATTTGGAATGAGAGTCGCTGATATAGTGCAGGATAGATGTTCAAAAGGGTCTTAGGAAATTCGAACTTTAATGTAACGAAAAGTTCTAATATGGCACCATTTGGTATTGTTAGAGCTAAAAACCTTAAATTCGAGATGAGAATCAAGGTAGTTTGTTTGGTAAATGAAGGTGGTTTTGGAAATTTGCACTGTACTAAATGGTACTAAATTTGGATCAGTTTTGTTTTGGGTCAACCGATGAAGCTGAAAATTTTTGTTGGGGTGCCTGTTGGTGGTACGTTTGTTTTACAGAGGTGATCTTGAAAATGGTACAATTTGGTGTCGGGTGAACATATAGTTTCTGCAGTTTGGAATTCTATATTAGTATCGCTGTTCGTGTGGTCGCTGTGGGGTTGGAAGTATGTATTATAATTGTACGAAAGGTACTAAATGGTACTAAATTTGGTTATGGAGAAAATTGCAGAGCTGAATTTCCGATATTTGATATTAAAGTCACTGTTGGTATCTGAGTATTAGATTTGGAGGTGGGTTTGGAGATGTGTACCATAGCTCTTCGAAAAATACTTAATTAAACTAAATTTGGTATTGGGTGAAGGAATGGACCTGAAGTTCTGAAATTTTATATGGATGTCAGTGTTAGTGTCTGTGTTTGGAAATGTGTCCAATATTTGTGGAAAGGTACTGTATGGTACTTTATTTGGTATCCAAGAGATATGTGTTCTATAACTGTACGAAAAGTACTAATTTGTACTAAACTTGGTATTGTGTGAAGGAATAGACCTTAAGTTCTGAAATTTTATATGGATATCTCTGTTGGTATCTGTGGTGTGAGAGAAGGAACTGGTTTTGGAATTTTTTTTTTCCAAGAATCGATGAACATTTTGTGCAGCTTGAGTACTAAAATGAATTGGTGGTGTCTGAAACTTTAAAGTGGAATTTTCGATAAGGAGGCAGCGGACACTTGCTAGTAATGAGATAAAAGGAGAGAGCAAGATGAACTAAATTAACTAAAGGTATTATGTGAACCAAAAGAACTAGACGGAAAAAGGAATTGAATAAAGTTCCGATCGTTCCTTTTACGGAATAGTTTTTTTTTTTTTTTTTAACTATTTCGTATCAGAACGACATAACTCTTAATCTAACCAAACCGCACATGACCTTTAACCCACAACACTTAATCTATCAAGGAAAAAACAATATCCCAACATTATTAAAACCCAACACCTCCCCCCCCTTTTATGCATTTACTTATAAATAATTGTAATTGCACGTGGTTAAATCGTTCCATAAATCATTAATGCACACAGAACAACGAACTTATAAATAACCATAAACAAATGATAAATATTTAAAAAAAAAAAATAAATAAATAAAACAAATGATAGCGTCTAACAATGTGCAAAATGAGTATTTATTAACTCCGATCAGCATTGCAATTAATCGGCGTTTATGCGAATGACACTTAGTTAACAAAAGAGTCATTAAGGCAATTGTGAAAAAACAACTATTAAATTAATCTACCGACAACCTGCCGCAAAAACAAATCATCGATCGGGCGACCGGATCAATTCCAGCATCACATCTCAAAGATCTGCCCGCGGGCCAGCAATAATTTATTCAAAAACGTGAATTTGTTAATATCGCGAGTAGTTACATGCTCACACGATTAGCTGGATAAATATCAAGGGACCCAGCTTAGCATGGGTTCTTGTTAGCGGGAATTCCTTATGTAACCTATTATTTCATTAGAATTTTGAAAAATCAAAACACAAAGGCTTAGAGTTCATTTATATTTAAAACCAGTAAAGAAAGACTAAAAGTCGGGCGGGGCCGACTTTACGATACCCTACATCCCTTTGCATATTTATTAGAGCTTCATATAACAAATCGGATGAACAATATATATGGGAGCTATAGCTATATCTGAAACGATTTTCACCAAATTTGACATACTAGCTTCTAGACTCAAATTGGTCGTAAGTGCCAAATTCCATCCCAAGGTATTTTTGTGCTGTATTTGATTTATTTCCCCAAATATCGTTGTTACAGAGTGCAAATTTCAGCTGCGGAGAACAAAAATATCAAATCAGATGAACAATATATATGGGATCTCACCCATTTTCACCCTATTTGATATAATTGTTTCTAGACTCATTGTGGTCGTAAGTGTCAAATTCTATACCAATCGGGCCAATATTACACGTTTGGTGCACCATAAAAGGCAAATCGGACGAAGATATATTTGGGAGCTTTATGTAAATTTTGACCGATTATCTCCACTTTCAATATGGTTCGTCCTTGGGTCAAACAAATGACTTATATATATCTATGACGACTCCATATATGAATTAGCATTAAATTCAAAGAATAGTTATGGACCAAGTCTCCGCACCCCATCGCCAAAACTATAGAACAGCTCTAGTATAGTAAAAACGGTCGGATCCTTTTGGAATCGCTTTCAGAGGTATATAATTGTACCCTGTTTCGGAGAAATTATTTTTTTGTCACGCATCCGGAAAACCGGATATTTGACCTGATCATGGTCTGAGCTAATGAAAATACCTATCCAACAAGTGGTTTTTTAAGACGGTTTTTTTGACTCGAATTTAAAAAAAAAAAAAAACTCCCTAAAAGACCCATTTTGGGAGTCCACAAAATAGATACCAAATTATAGCTTACACTCCAACCATTCCAAAATGCTACAGTTTCCGCATTTATATTTCCTGGATCCAGAGATATGGGTCTTTAAACCCGAACAACCCGAATATGTTGTGTT